GTGTACATGGTAGGTAAATAGATAATTTGAGTTTCTTGAAAAACTTGAATACTTTCGCCTTGGGGCGAATATTGGTGGACACGACGCAAACGGAAAAGAAAATCCTTGGAACAGTTTGCTTTTGTGGAATATTTTTTAATTCATGGTAATTTGTGATTCCAATTATTTTTGGCCTATGTATGTATTTTTGTGTGTATTTAGTTTTGTTGTACGTAATAATTTTTAGACTTTAGAGATAAACTAATTGTTTGTAGAGGTATATAATTTGTTGAGGGATGGTAGTTTATTAAATTGGGGGGCCGTCCATAAATTTACGCAAGATCCAAGGTTCCAATGATATCCTGCGTATCTGCCACATGTTAAAGGTGGGGGCGGGGGGTTTAGAAATCTATGATTACGCATTTTATGGACACCCCTTACTTGATTGTTTGCATGGTCGTGGTACAATATTTGACGTGGTACAAAAAATATCTAATAATATTTTGTTGTGAGTATGATGAAAAATTCTAACAAACGATAAGTATACAGATTAAAGTATGGTTTGAACCAAGATCAATAAATTTAATCTCACAGAACCATTTCTCATAAATATGCAGAATGATGATGGAAAGCTCGCCACGACTAAGACATGGCGTTGCTATGTCTGAGTCGTGGCTCGGAAAATTAATTGAATTAATTGGTGCAGCAGAAGCATTAAAATATAACATGATGTTCACATTTATACTCTGTTTATTATTATTTTATGATAGTTCAGCTACCAATGCAGCTCATGAGTAATATTTAATGCAAAACAATGTAATTGAGCATTCGTTTAAATTGCAGCAAATAATTAAGTTTATTAATAATGATTAGATACGTTTTTTACATCTCAGGAATCAACTAATCCATATAATGCCTAGAAACCATTAAAATGCCAAACAAGGAATTTTTAAATGTTTTTCTATCTTGCAGAACACAATCAACTTTCGCTTAAACAATAGCCTGGCTAGAATGTTCGCAAATCTTAATTAGTTTAAATTTTTGCTTTAGCTTGCGGGGTAGAAATTTTCGCCAGTATGACAATTTGCACATAACATAAAAATCCTTCTACCAGCAAAGGAGGCAAGAACTGAAATTGTACATGGCGGAATTAGTTTGATTCCTAGTCTGGACACTGGATTCACTGGCCAGCCTGGTTCATCATCGCTTGACTCGACATTTTCAGTGTTGTCTTTACAAATAAATGGAACATAAATTAAGGTATTATAATTAGCATTGAGATTCAAGTGTCGGTAGGAATTTTTGGTCGCTCAAAAAAAAGAGCACCCAACCAAGTAGGATCAGATATAACTATCTTATCTTCTGCAACCAAAATAACTCGGTTTCTTTTTCTTTTTTCTAACTAGTTGAAACTTCTCAAGTAATTTGGACGAATTCCCTTCAAAAAACCCAAAATCACGATGTACAGATTGATTCCGTTTGATGATTCTGGGCTTGGTAACGTTAAGTTTGTCTCCACATTTTTAAATCATTTCGTGTAGAGCTCGCAGAAAGTTTGGGAACTCTTCTCCTCTGATTGATATCCACTGGAACAAGGTGCTTGCTCCAATAAAATCTGCAGTATTAGATCCATGAGTAGAGCACCGAACAACTTCCTTACGAAAACTTTTCTCAAAGTTAATTTGAGGATCGCTTATCACTTGGTCGGGCCCGTGACAAAAGATAACTATAACTTACATTAAACTAATTGTTGGCAGTGTAACGTTGTTAATAATTTGTTTAGACTTAATCAATTCGGTAGTTAACTTGACTTTGTACAAGGTTTATTAAAAATGTTGTGCAGCATTATATACCTTCAGAAATGGTTTCATCGGATGTGGGAGAGCATGATAGTTTCAGTCTTTTTTGACTGTGTAGAAATTCAGAATCTTCTGCATTTATTATTTATATATACTTATACATATTTATTTATGATATTTATTTATATGAAACCATGCTATGATTCTCACTACGCTGTGTCAATCTAACACAGTTGGGTGAGAATTATACATCAAATTTGTGTGAAAATCGTTACGACGGTCGACAACAGAATTGACATAAGATTGTAACGATTTTATAAATTTTATTGGCATAATGCAGTGACAATTATTTACGAGATTTTGTTAAACTAGTTACAATTTATCTAGAGACATGTTTATTTTTACGCTAACAATTCTTAACCGACTCAGTGTGTATATTGGGAGTCAATTTAGACACAATTTCCGCAAGAAATCGCCTGTAATATGGCCTATATACTAGCAATAATTTTCTGGGTTTTGCTACCACGTTGCTTAGAGTGTAGTAATTTCCAAGTAACAAGTTAATTGAATCCATTTAAAATTTTTTTAATGTTAAAAAGTTGTTTAGAACCACATCGGAAAAATCGGATGAAAACTGGTTGGGAAATTAATAAACTAAATTTTGAACCACATGAGAAAATGGATGCCCTGGTGAAGAGAAGCGCAGGAGAAAATCGGAAAGCGGAGGGTTGAACTCCGTATAGTTTCGCATGGTGAAAATACACGTTTTCGCCAACTTAAAACCTTCATGACTTTGTGAATTCTGCAGAAGTGCTCAAATATCACACCAATTGTTTATTTGTGTTCGGTTCCTTGATTTTTTAGTGCTGGTTTGAAGAAGATCTGTGAGGAGCATGTCTGACATCGTAAGTGTTACCAATCCGGTAGGAAAGTACAAAACAAATATCGGCAAATATCAAAACAATTTCAGCGATGAGCATATTTAGATATACGTGTTACACAGCTTTTTAGCAGTGTGTACATACATGCATACTTAGATACATATCTGAAGTTATGTGCAAAATGATACACACATATGTATCTATAAAAAATCGCCCATATGGTTGCCACTTGTTCGAATTTACTCCTGGGCACCATCATCACTCACGCTGGGAATGCAACCAACAAGGTCGTAAACATACTCGATATTTGAACAAAGTAGTCATTCAAGGCGCCATAACTCATCGATCTAATATTTCCAACTCGAATTCCGAAAGGTCGTATTGATTTCACTTCCCTGTTTCGTAACTTTCTATTTCTCGGAGAAAGTGAAAGGTCCACGAGGGTGGCGAATTTGACGCAAAGTTCCCCAATCTTGTGCTTCACCATGCCGGAAATGTGCAAATAGAGGAATGTGGTGGCCAAGATGGAGACAATTAAGGCGACGATCGCCTTAATTGATAGAATTCTCAATTTCTGTAAAAGTTCAATTCTGCGTGGATTTAGTGTAGCTACATATGTATGTACATATGTGCATAATTACATACATATTTCGGCAGTCATAACTCAGTAGAAAACGTCAATTTAGAACAAAAGCATAATATTTGGGTGCATTTACCTTAAAATGAATTAGGCTACACACTAATGACTAAGGAATCTAAGCTTTATGAAAAATTAGCCAATCAACCGGTACACTGGGGATTACATAAGTAAGTTATACCTGTTCGAAAACTTAGTTTTCATTCAAAAGTCAGTCATCCTTCTTTCTGACTCAAGATTTTCAGTCATATTCAGCAGAGTTTTTTTAAATAACGCAAAATCATTTAAATAATGAATAATAAATAATTTGAAAATAATATGAATATTTAAATAATTACACTTAAATAATGACGGTTTTAAAGCGTTATTTAATTACTAAATAATAAATAATCGGTTTACTTCTCGCTTATTTAAATAACAAATATTATTTAACTAAAAGAATATTAATTATTTATTATACTTCTTATAATGTCCGTATTTTTATACTCTGCCATCCGTATTTAACATGCATTACATTTCATAAGAACTAATGCCTCAAAAAATTCGTCAGTCAAGCGTGACCGTTTCTCGGAAAGGACAATACCACAGCAAGAAAACAAACGCTCTGATGGCGCAGATGACGGCAAAGCTGTGTTGAACTTCATAAACATTTTTTTTTACAATCGGGTAGTCATTCAAAATTTTGAGTTGTGTTTTCTTTTCCTGGAAATATTTGAGACATTCTATTTCTACCAATTTCTTCCAAGAATCTTCCTGTACCACGTTTACCAAGTCAACATCCGCAAAAACATAGCGATTTTCTAGTGGATCCTCTTGCACTGGATTTGAGGAAAGAGGATTTGGGGAAATGAAGTTATTTATAAAATGCTTTCAAATAATCCTTATTTAAATAATAAATAATGAGTTAATTAGGTTATTATTTGAATAATAAGTAATTGTGGACTGATGGTTTTTCGAACTATTTAAATAATAATTCTTAATTACCCTCATGTCGCTATTTAGGTCATTATTTAAATACTTTCGTTATTTAAATAAAAACCTCTGATATTCAGTCATTTTCGTTCAAAATTCAAATCCATTTCATTTCACTTCATCGGACTTTATTTCTTACTTCGCCCCATGTATTGAGCATAGGGCGAAAAGCGAAAAATCCTTTCATTCACACTCATTCATCTGAAATTACGGAATCCTTCAGTCATTTTCATTCAATTGACAGGAATTTCATTTTCATTCACAATCATTCACCATCATATTTTATTTAGTAAAATAAATGAAAGTGCACAGGTACGTAAATAAGTTACACAAAAGTTAGGAGGAAAGTTAATGTTGAGGAAAGACCTCTATATGCCCCTCCCAGATCATGATGACCACATACTTATGTTGGAGTACCCTATGAGTTTTGGCGCACACTTTTACAAGCTTGAGGTGGTTGAGCACTGTTCAGTGGCCGCGGAACCAGTAGGGACATGTGGGACATGTACCATTATAGAATATGGAAGGGAGAGTTTAAGATAATATGAGAAGATTATGTATCGGTACTTCCAATACCCCTGGGGACATTGTCCCTCCGTCCCCCGCATTTCTGCGGCTTTTGGAATATGTATTTGAATAACCGGAATTTAATCAGACATGTCAGTTATCTGATTGATGCGTATGCAAAGGTCACACACGTGGAAAGAACATGCCATTTTCATTGATAAGTAGCACTTGACGATAAATTTAGTCATGAAATTTATTCCGTATATACTTGATTTGGTCCATATGGTCACATAAAATCTCCATAAAAATAAACTCAAATTATGCCGAATTTTGCAATCTTTATTTCATCCATTGCTATTTTATGCGGGTTGAGTGTGGTTGCCTATATTCCGGGTGAAGGGGACGTTTTCGTCTTGCAAAATATTGGAGATGGGGGTGGGGTAAGAAAATTTAAAAAATTGTGCAATTTTTAAAGCTGGTTAAAATTTTTAGATTTTTGTACGTGTTCAATTTTAGATTATTCGGCCCAGTGGGAACGGAAAGGTTTGTGAGCGACTAGCCGATGTTCGGTCTACTTGGAGGTTGACCCCACCATACGCCGATCAGTACAAGTGGACCGCTACAATCACTAATTTCAGTAAGTTTCTAATTTTATTTTGGATATTCGGTCTTTCATATAATCTTAGAAATCTGGTATAAGTAGTCCGGCATATATAGATTTCTCGGTTTAAAAGTATCTACCTCTTGGTATTAAAATTATGCTGGTCCAAATAAATTTAATATCGATATGGTAAAATTTTAATACCGCGCTAGTACTACACGGTATATTACTTAACAGCACCATTTTGGTAGTCATGTATTAATACCGCTTTGTATTATTTCAATACTGGATTTTTAAAAGTGTAACATTTAATTTGCAGTTTTTCATAAAAAAACTACTCAAAACTCATTTATTTTCTACAAATACTCTATTTCTAAGAGCGTGTTTGTGTGACTGGTATCAGTATAAAAACTTTGCGAATGTTCGACTAATCCAAATTTGCATTGTATGTATGTAAATATAATTCGTGTTTTAATCAATTTTGCAGCCGGCGTCGAGTTCATGACAATCCACTCCTTCGTCCCGGAAGAGAGTCACCTCGTCAATAAGATCACGTACGACGACTACCCGCCCTTTTGTTTCTTGGTGGAGCGGGAACTCGTCATTATTCCGGACAGTGGATATTACATTGTAAAACACGGGAGAAGCAATAAATGCTTGACCTCGTACGGGTCAGAGGTCGGGATTTTATTTTGGTTAGATTGCGGCAACGTGGGACAGCATTGGTCCTTCATTCAAACAGAATGAGTAGCTTTTTCACTCTAACAAAAAGCATAGTATTAAAATAAATAATACTAACCGGTACTCCTATTTTACTATTAGAATGGTCTATTCATATAATTTATTGCAAATAAAACAATAGGGTTTACTTTTCAAAAGGGTAACTTTGCATATGTTTACTACTGCATGAATTATTAGTGTCCATTTTGTATAATTTTTTTTAAAATTATATATTTTCGTTAGGTATTTCAACCTTCTTATTTAATATTTTCTTCTCACTTAAAATTAACACCCATTACAAATATTTATCAAATCATAAAAGTAAAAATAACCTAAAACGATGATTTGACAATAAGTTTAAATAATTTTCTATATAACTACAGGTAAAAAAATTACTACTTTATGACGGTGGTATTATTCTTGAGAAGGCAATAATCATAATGCCGTCATGGGTAGGAACTAAGCATCCTGCCCTCTCCTTCATCTTGACGACCACATGAGAGATAACTAAATATACCTAAATGGAATATGACACTGAACCAGTACAAATTTAAAAATAATATTCTTCATCTAAGAAAAATTAAATTAAATAGTTAGTCATGCATAAAATAGGAAAATTAGTGCATCAGAAACTTAAATTAATTTTAATTTTATTATTTGAAAACTCATAAATTTTGAATTTCTCCCATTATTTATGAAATTTTGATATCATATCTTTGCTCTGTTTACAAGCATGAAATTCAGTCAAAATTCGCCCATATAGTATGTGACGGAAAGAGGAAACAATGTCATAAACGCCAGAATAATTATTTAATTTGTGTACAAAACATTGATAAATTAAGTGATTTGATAAAATAAATTGGATATGCATGTATATGACATGAATATTAAATGACATGAATGAATATTGACGCGTATGCGTGAATACTCCAAGACCATATTTAATGCTGTTTCGACATATGCATTTCATTCAATTCGATTGGATAATTTGTATTTCGGTACGCATTCCTCTTGTTTTTACAGGTCAGTAATGTGTAATTGTTGATGAAATAGTAATTAAAAATTACGCATGAATTAATTCGCGTTCCATGAAAAAGTGACAACAAATTAAGTGGTGGTGGTTGTTGTTGCGGGAGAAATTTGCACCTGACGTCACATCCATAATGTGGACTCAGCATGTTTGCTGCTGGAGAAATAAAACATAAAAGAACAATCAAAACAAATGAGTTAAACATCGCAATAAAAAACTAATTGCAAGTCGTAATCAAAATAAGCAGTTAATTTGTTGCTGCTTTACTAACAGCCCGGAGGTAAGTTACGTACTTAAAAAATATACCATTTTTGACATTTAAATAACATTGAAAAATGGAATGCTTCATGAAGTTAATTTCATACATACTTTTGTGAAAATGTAGCAAAACATTCCTAATTTATAAATTTATATTAATTTGAACCGTGGGGATGCCTGTGCTCCACTGGGACTGTGCATGGTGAAGTAATAGTATAGCAGTGAGGACATATGCAGGATAGCCATACTAGCACGTGTATTTGGGGAGCCGGCAATTAGACTTGAATGATCTACCGCCGCAGGCTGCCTTTGGGCCCGTCTACCGAACAAAGTACATACATACATACATTCCCAGTGTTGCAAGTCTTGGAGCTGAGGGAGCAGGTGGAGTGGTTCCTTCCTTCGAAAAGTACTCCCAAAGTTGTCCCGTTTGTGAGGAAGGTGGACGTGGACTTCGAGATTTCTGGTGTTCTTCTGAGACCGTATGACACTTAAAATTGGACAAGAAGGAAGGAAAATTGTTACGAAGCATGAATAAATCGTTTGCGTAGGAATATCTATGTAGTTGCTTATTGAGATCCTAATAAAAAATACCTTATTAATTTATTTCAGGAATGTTGTATGAAAAGTGTGTATGTAAACTTTCTACTTCGCTAATTAAACAAATATGCAGATTTGAAGTTATTTATTACTGTGTATTATTTTTAAAATGAATATGAATTTCTTGACACCAATAATTTTTTTGGCTTGAATTAGCTCCGAATAATTCGTATCTATTAAAGAGTGGTAAACATTCACTTCAAAGTGGCATGAAAATTTTTCATGCAACTTACTACTTTTGCAGTACATGATGTAATTTACATCATTTTTCTATGCACATGATTTGGTATGAGTTTTCTATTTGTGACGGGTACGCACTCTGCTATATGAAAAAGGAAAGTTGTTAAAGGAAAACAAAAGAGAGAATTGTATGTTTTTAACAGTGGTGATGATGCGGTTCAACGTGGATGTTGACGCATACTGCTTACCTTGATTAACAACAAACAATATCATGATTTTTCTAATTTTAGCATAATTCAGACTTTATGAAATACTTACCACACTGTTCACAGGCATCGGTCCCATCCTCCTTGTCATCTTCATCGTCTGATTCAATTACGAAGGTTTTTCTTTTCTGACCTCTACCATTTTTGTTTTCCACTTTCTTCTCTTTTTCTTCTTGCAATTTTCGTACTTCCGCTTGCTCTTCTTCTGCTTGACTTGCTTCTGCTTGCTTTTCTTTCGCTTGACCTGCCATTGCTTTCTTTTCTTCTGCTTGCTTTTCTTTCGCTTGACCTGCCATTGCTTTCTTTTCTTCTGCTTTTGCTTTCTTTTGTTCTGTTTGACTTGCCTCTGCCCTCTTTTCTTTTGCTTGATATAATTTTTCTCTTTCTGCTTCTAATTTTACTTTCCTAGCTTCTTCGGTTTCTCGCTTTGCACCCTCTTGTTGATTCTTCGCTTTCACAATTTCTTCTTGTGATTTTGCCTTCTCTTTCCGTGCCTCATCTTGCTTCTTATTAGCTTTCTCCTTCTCAGTTCTTGCGTATTACCACTCATTGCTTAGTAAAACAATTTCACCTTGAAGCGTTTGCTTCTTTACAGCTGCTTCATCTTTTGCTTCTCGTGCGGCTTGCATGGCCAACCTGGCATCACTTTTTTCGTGTTTAGCTTCGTCTTTCTCTTTCTTCCACTCCGCTTTTTCCTTTTTTGTTTCCACTTTCGCATTTTAAGTAAAGGTGAGTCGGATCGTCCTTTTTCGAGATCCGATCCATCCAAATCCGATTCACCCAAAAAAATTCAGATCCGATCCATCCAAATCCAGTTGGATCGGATCGGGTAATGGATAATCCGAAAAATCGGATGTCCGGCTCACCTCTAATTTTCAGCTGCTACCAACGCCTTCCTCGCCATCTCTTCTCGCTTGTTTGCACCTTCTTCGGCTTTTATATTACATTGCTTTATTTCATTGATCATTTCATTAGCTACCCTTTACCGTACTTCCACTTCTACTTTCTCTCTTCTTTCTTTGGCTAGCTCAAATTCTAACTCAGCAATCTTTTCTTTGTATTTATTCTTCTTTGAGTTTTTCTCGCTGTCTGTAAGGTCCACAACCTCTGGTTCCCCTTGCTTCATCTTGCGTTTTTGCTTCTTCATGTTTTTTGCTTCATCTTGTAATCTTTTCAGTCTTTTCGCTTGCACTTCTTTTTTCGCGAGCCTCTCAGCTTCCTGGACTTTCCTTGCTTCTTGTCTGTCCTTTTCTGAGTCTTCTTCAGTTCTTTTTCTTGCTGCTAAAGCTCTCTCCTGTTCATGTATTCTTTCTTCTTCCTCTGTAACACAATATATTTTTCATTTCCTCATTATGCTTTCATTTTCGTCTCTACTTACCTCTTTCATCCTTCCTTTGCTTCACCATTTTCCATGCTTCTTCGTAGTCGAAAGAAATATCCAAGACGTGATCAAAAACACCTAGAAAATCTTCGTCTAATAACAGGTCGTAGGATCGGTTGACCCTTTTAATCTGAAAATAAAAACACATGTTTAAACTTTTATATGCTTCTCTTTCTTTGCTTTACTTTCACTGCCAACTTTTCTATCTGCTTGTTTCCCTATTGCTTACCATTTATGGATCCTCCTGCCCTTGGTCCGTAGAAGTCCGCAGACTCAAAGAACGATATTTTTTTACTTCGAACGAACGGGCAGTTCGACCAACCCCAAGTATGACATATGGGTCAAAATTGCTCATTTTGACTTGCTACTTGACTAATCCTAAGTGATTGACTTGACAAATTGACTTACTGACTGACTAACTGACACAAAACAGGTGGTTTTTGGTTTGGTGAGGGATATGATGGTGGTTTTTGTTAGTTTGGATGTGAAGTGGAGGTGGCACTAGTGCCACCATCGAGGTGGTTGAGACACTTCGTGCCACCTCAAACTCAAAACGAAAGTGCAACTCAACCCTATTATTTTGTAATTTGAATAAATTTGTTAACTGAATTTTGTAAATTCCAGGGACAAAAGCGTGAGCGGTATATTTGCGCTTCCTGCAATTGTTTCAATTTCTATGGCGGCGTCCAACATTTGTACGAAAACTAGCAACCACGCCCATGGAGACGTTCCCAGCTCGACCTCGTCCGAAAATATTAGTCAAATCGGAGATTTTCTCAATCCTGAGGGGATCAGTGCTGTGGATTCTCAGATAGTGCTTTACATGTAAGATTATCAACGTGTATTTTCAAAATAGCATAACCAAAGGAATTTGACATATAGAAACAGCAAGCGAAAAAATAATGTGACTATTTTGAAACGTAAATTAAGTCAGAATTCGGTATTATAAGTAAACTATTTACATTAAATTCAGAGTAAAGTAAACCTTACTCTTTATTAAGTTAACTTAAGTCTAGATTAGTATGGTTTACCAACAATAGAGACTTTTTTTTCAAGCTACACCAGGATTGTTTAGCGAGTTACATCCAAAAATCAAGCCAAAAATTAGCAATCACGTGGCAGTCGTGGTACTTATCTTTCCGTTGAATAGCCCCATCGGAAAGATAAGTGTCACGTGATTCCTGATTTTTGCTGGATTTTTTGATATATCTCGCTACACAACCCTGATGCAACTTGGAAAAAGGTTCCATTGTTAATACATATAGAATTAAGAGTGTATTACTTTTCAAAATGGTAACATTGTTAAGAGTGTATACACGATATATTAATTTTCCATTTTAATTTAGCGGTGGACCCTGCCCGAAATCATTACCTGTATCGACGCACAATCAGCCTGAGTGGGTAGGACCAACGCAACTCGTTCTGGAACCGGGTGAAGTACCGACAAGT